TTCCAATGGCCCGGTGAGGGTGAGGGGGCCCGGAACGCAATTTTTACCAAGGGGGACCAATATATCGACTAGTGAAGATGACCTAGGGCTTCAATATTAATATTACAAAAATATTGTGCGAGGCCAATTGATTTGTAACGATCTGGACAATTTTTAATTTTTAAGCTTTAATTATGTTATAATAATGTGATCATTTTGTCGGGGTTAATATTCTAATAATGTTCACAAAAACAATTATCTCATATATTGTCTTCTCATTATACAGTATTGTCGCTAACAATGACTAACAATCTTAAAACAAGTGTTTTATTTAGACTGAACCATGGTAATCTATCGCTGAAGTGTTTCTTTTTAGTGTGCTGTGCCACGGGAGCCTCTTGTCTTCCCTACAGAAAAAATAGACTTCAGCTATTACTTTTTAATTATGTTTCCTTTTAATCAACCTCAGGAGCCAACAAGCACAGGCCAGCCAGGGTGCGCAGACACTCTTTGGAGATAACTAATGGTTTTGTCGACCTGATTTAGGAGCTAGTGGCAGGCAGAACGCGTTTTATCCAGACAGACGTCGGAGTGAGGAACGGGAGTAATTAATATGGAATGCTGATGTGAATTCTGACAAGTTCTAATAAAAGAGGCTGAGTGGTTTGATAAGACTTGAGTGCCCAGGAGTAATTACAGAGCTTTAAACCATGTGTAGAGTAGAGTTTAGTGTGGGACTGTCTTCATGTTTAATAGAGACAGAATCTTCACTTGACCCTCCCTCCGCCATTGACAGGCCATTTATTACAGCCGGCTTTCTGATTCAGCATGCCAATATCAGCACTCCCCTGCATGGCTAATGTCTTTTAGCAAGATTTTTGAGTGGATATGAGTTATTTTCAGACTTTATTTTGCTCTAGTTTGTTGATTCTTTTTGGCTCTTTTATGGATTATGACAGTAATGACAGCTGTGAGGGCATACAGACAGGGACAGAGAAAGACAGATAATAAAGCAAATGTGTGGGTTATAAAGTGATTTCAGAGGCTTGAAAAAGGAGAAAAAAAATGAAACATTTCTCTACTGCGAACGACGTAATAAATGTAAGTGGTAATGAAAAAGACAAAGGCAAAATCTCTCTTCCTTTCAGGGACATTTGTCTTTCCCTTGTGCTTTATCAAAGGACAGCTGCTAAAGAGTCCCTTGGCCATGTGCACACACACACACACACACACACACACACACACACACATTGGCACGTGTACAAAGCTCTGTAATCTTTCCTCTTGTCACCTAAGAGCTCCCTTTCAGTCTCGTCTCCATGGAGACGGCAAACTGTTTTGTGTCACAGTTTGTGTTCTGGTCGGTTCAGCCTCAGCAGTCTGTGTGTTCGCATCTAATCCTGCCTCATCTTTCTAGAGCTGATGTCCACAATAATTACATGAACTTTTGTTATTTCCTTTATGCATCCATCCACCATATCAGTGGTCAGCAGGGAGACCTGTCTGTTTCATTGTTATATACTCCAGAAATGATTGAGAGGAAGGTTGTGCTCAGTAATATGACTCTATAGGCAATGGATGGAATCACACTGAGCCATGAAAGACTGTGAATCACATGAATTCAGTGGATCACATGCTGGAGCATCACACCTCTCGTCCTCTTTTGCCATTTAACATCTTATCCATCTGTTATTATTTTTATATCTCATTCCACTGACACTTTTCTTCTTTCTTTTACAAATGTGCTGTGCCTTCCTTTGCCATCAGATCCTTTGTAATTTTAGCTGAGTATGAAAATAAATGACACATCATTATTATGAAGAGTGATAAATTAATGATCAAATTCAACATAAAAAAATGTATAGTGTGTTCATGTACAGTTTTCTATGGAAGCCAGTTTCCCTCACTGAATAAAATATTAAGAAAAAAGTCATTGTGTCACACCCCTGGACTGTTTTTTATGTGTTTTCATCCCTCATGTGCTCTGTGTGACCTAGTTTCTGTCTCCCGTTGATTATGTCATTTAGTTCAGGTGTGTCTTGTCTATTATCCTCGTTTACGAATGTGCTTGTTTGTCCAGTCTACTACATCCCTACGTGTTTATCCTGCCTGTATCTACCCTCTTGTGGATTATTAAAGACTATTTGCATTCATCTTCATCTTCTTCATGCATTTATCTTTGTGCGTTTACATACCATAGCGTGACAGAAGACCAGACCTAAAAGTGAAAGTTTTGTTTTTAAGTTTTCCTTTTGAGTTATTATTGTCGACCCAGAGCCCAGCCTACCACCAACCCGCTTCACAGAGCTACAGTTTGAGCCCACCACTGACGGAGAGCCAGAGCCCGCCGCGACCGACGATCCATCGCCTAGGAGAGCAACAGTGCTGAGGATCGCCCCGGAGCCAGAGCCTCAATCGACGTCAGTCCAGGTGCTTGTGCCGGCTGCTAGACATGCGACGGTGGAAGTGTCAGTAGGGAGCGAAGGCGCAGAGGAATGCCCCACCCACTGCACCACCACTAGGGGTGAGCTGAGGCTGCGCTCAGAGGACGTTAATATATATGCGGATATGCCTTGTCTTCTCCCGCCATCATCAACTGTCTGTACTATAATGACCATGGTGGTTGTTCCCCTGTTGCTGGCGCTCACGGTGCTGGAAGTGGCCTTATGGTGTGTGGGCAGCACACACCGTGTCAAATCCTCCTGAGCATTCTGAACTCCCGCCCAGCTGCACTCTCCCACCTCCTCTGTATCAGTCCTCACCTTCGCCTCCGCTGTTTCCTGGCAGCCCCTCAGCTCACCCTCAGCCCACCATCTGTGCGGTGGGATCACCGTGCCAGTCTCCATCGGCATCGTGGCTGGAGGATCCCTTGTCTCCACCTCTAGCCTCTGGGTCCCGGACTCCACCTCGGCCCTTCGACCCAGCAGCTCCACCATGGCTCCTAGCTCCCTCCTTTCCGCCGTGGCCCATCAGTCCACCTGCTCCGCCGGGCTCCCTCGTCCCTCCGGCTCCGTCTTGGTCAGTCGTCGACCTTCCGCCGCATCAGGACTCCACTCCTCCAGCTACACCTCGTCCCACCGTCTCTGTCAGGCTCCTCCTTCCCTCCGGCTTCACCTTGGTCCTCTGTCGCTCTGGCTCCGCCTTGGCCCTCCGGATCCTCAGCGTCACCCTGGCTCTTCGGCTCTCCGTCTCTGCCTAGGGCTCCATCACCACCTGCTCTGCTGCCGTCGGCTGGCCCCCTGGAGCCGTCAGCCGTCCTCCACCATGACTCCTCCCTCCGTCGGCTCCACCGTGGGTTGCCTTAATGGCTGCGGCCTGGGTCCCGCTTGGCTCCTCCTGCTCCCTCCTGTCTTCTCCCTGGCTCCTCCCTCTGTCTGATCTGCCCTGGCTCCTCCTGTTTACTCCCTGGTTCCTCCCTCCATCGTCTCCACCCTGGACTCTGTTTGTCGTCCTCCTCATGGGTGTCCATCCTCCGCCCGAACCTCCTCCAGTATTTGTCTGCCTGCCTTCCTGCCAGCCCTTTGCCATCCCCTGTCACCATCCCACATCCACATTCATGCGTTTATCTTACCGTAACGTGACACATTGCTCATTTTTATCTCACAATTCTGACATTTTTTCGCAATTTTCTCTGAATTGTGAGATATAAACTCGCAATTGCAAGTTATAAGGTCCTGTTCTGAGGGGAAAAAAGACTGATATTTTCTCAGAATTGCAAGTTTATATCTCACAATTCTGACTTAATAACTCACAATTCTGTTTTTTTCTTAGAATTGTGTGATATAAACTTCCTAAAGTCAGAATTGTGAGATATAAACTCGCAATTCTGAGAACATATCAGTCCCCCCCCCCCCTTCAAAATTGGACTTTAACTCGAGTTTATATCTCGCAATTCTGACTTTTGTTCTCAGAACTGTGAGATATAAACTTCCAATTGTGAGTTATAAAGTCAGAATTGCGAGATATAAACTTCAGAACTCACAATTGTGACTTTTTTTTCTCAGAACTGTAAGAATCGTAATTCTGACTTTCTATCTTACAATTCTGACTTTATAACTCGCAACTGTGAGTCTTAGGGTTGGAGCTAAACTCTGCAGGACACCGGCCCTCCAGGACCGAGTTTGGACAGCCCTGCCCTAATCCTAACCTTAACCATATAGTAAGTACATGTAGTTGATAAATATTACTCAGTACTTAAATGTATAATTATACTGTAACAAGGACACCTTAAAATAAAGTGTAACCGTGAGTTTATAATTTCTCACAATTCTGAGAAACAAGTCAGAATTGCGAATTTTTATCACACAATTCTGGGAAAAGTCAGAATTGTGAGATGTGAACTTGAAATTGCGAGAAAAAAGTCAGAATTGCAAGATAAAAAGTCACAATTACCTTTTTTATATTTTATTCAGTGGCAGAAATGGGCTTCCATAGTTTTTCTCTACATTGGGATTTAGTGGTGGGATTTTTCTGCATGTTACATCATTATGACAGTAGGTGGCGTCAAGTGGCTGTCAACTGAGTCAATGATTCATTCACTCAATAATTAATTCACTAATTGAATCATTTACTCAACCGATTCATTCAGCAATAGGCTTAACTAACGCCACAACTGTGTGTTGCCCAGAGATGCGAAATGGTGGATTTTGCATTTGTGAAGCAAACTATACTGGTGATACTGATCCTAAAATGTAAGTTACTTAATACTAACTTGTTTTTTTAATTATAGCTGTATAGCTACAGTATATAGCTGTTGCATGCCCTAAAAGTGATAGCCATCCAGTGTCGAACCAAAGCGTATGTATTATAAATAAGGATATTTCAAAGCTTGTTTACTACTCAAATTAGAATTCCCACTAATTAGAAGTCTGTCTTAAATGGCTAATTTTCTGCTTTCTCGAGTTGCATTCCAGATATTGATCAGCAGAAACTTGATGAGCCGTACAAACCGCTTTTATGAATTCCCTCACCCATTTCAGGGGCTTTCCATTCCAATGATGCAGATTTTTTTTCCCCCACAGGTTGTCTATTTGAAAATGAGGTATGTGAGTCGTATGAAGTCTGCATCAACGGTGAGTCATTAAAATATTACATTTTGCACTTTCACCATTTGAAATAAATGGTTCTCATTAAAACTGCAAAAAGCTAAATCTCTTCCAAGCTGTCACTCTGCTACCCACTGTGTGACTGTCTTTCATTTTATGGCTATAAATGATCTTGTGTTAGGATTCATTTTCTGAAGACGTGTTTTTATCAAACTGACAAATTCTCTTTAAAAGTCTGCACAACATATAAATGTTGCAAAAATGTAGATTATGATGGAAGTAAAAGGTGTATGTAGAACATTTAATTTTAGTGAGAAATTAAATGTTAGGTTAATATGAAGGTTTATTTATTTACAGTGTTTACTTGTTTTGATCTAAATATTTATAATTAATTATAACTAGTTATGAATAATTATTCATATTTCCCTTATGAGCTGATTCGCTACACAGTTCAGCCCAAGGGTGTCTAATCCTGCTCCTGGAGGGCCACTGTCCTGCGGAGTTTAGATCCAACCACAATTAAACACACCTGAACCAGCTAATCAAAGTCTTGGGCATACTAGAAACTGGTCTAACCCACGTTTATTTTGAAATTATGTTTTAATTATATTATGAAAAGCAACCAGTATGTTTCCAGCCTTACCTGTGCTGGTGTGATGTAAATGTATCTTTGGAAAGGAAGAAAGACCTCCCCATGAGAAACGGTAGTGTAAAGGTGTTAACAGAAAGTTGAGTGGAAGGAAAACGTGTGGAAGAAAAAGATGCACAACCAACCGAAAGAACCGCAGCCTTATGAGGATTGTCAAGCAAAATCGATTCAAGAATTTGAGTGAACTTCACAAGGAATGGACTGAGGCTGGGGTCAAGGCATCAAGAGCCACCACACACAGACTTGTCAAGGAATTTGGCTACAGTTGTCGTATTCCTCTTGTTAAGCCACTCCTGAACCACAGACAACGTCAGAGGCGTCTTACCTGGGCTAAGGAGAAGAAGAACTGGACTGTTGCCCAGTGGTCCAAAGTCCTCTTTTCAGATGAGAGCAAAATAAATGAACTTTTCCACGACATTCTAATTTATTGAGATGCACCTGTATTAATGGCATGAGGTCAGGCAGTACCTGCAGAATGTCCGTTGATGGACAGCTGGTTTGTGTGGGACTACCATCTTTCTAACATTTCTAAGAATGGAAAGCAATGTCTGTGTGGCCTTCAAGAGAGAAAGTGAGGGACTGAATGGGGTCTTGGCTAGTAAAATGAAGTCAAGCCCTTTCAAGTTCAGGCTGTAGGTGAAAATAGCCAATCAAGGTATAGATGTCAGAGAGACAGTCTAAGGCCCTGTCCACACGGAGACGCGTTTAGCTGTATACGCATAAATTTTGTATCGTATAGGTGTTTCGTCCACACGGATCCGGCGTTTTGGGAGAGTGAAACCGATATTTTTTGAAACCGGGTCCCAGAGTGGATAAATCTGAAAACGCCACCCTTGCGTTTTCGTGTGGACAGCGAATCCGTATATTTTCTGAAACGATGACGTCATCAGCCCACGTCTCGCCCCTAGTCAGACACCACTACGTTACATAACAGCAACCAAAACATGAACAAACACTGAACGATTGTCTTTTTATTAACTAACATTAACACAGATTAATAAATGTATTGTTCCATGTTCGTTTGTATACCGCGCGCAATGTTTATGCGCATAGTCCAAGTCTTCTTCTCTGTTTTTAGTGTATCTCTGTGGCATAATTACAACGCCACATACTGGTCTGGCATGTATACTACATTGTTTTGTGGTTTCGTGTGGACGCAGATATTTCTTGAGACGAGGGGGAAAAAAGATCGGATAGGGAAAGCTCTGGCTTCGTGTGGACGTAGCCTAAGATTTACCTTGTGCTGCTGACTGATTGCAGATTAGTTTCTGTCAGCATTTAAATTCTCTCAGTGGTTTTAGTCTTGTCATAATGATCAAATAACTGGTTTCTTGTCAACATTTATGCCTTTATGCCTAAACAAGAACCTTTTATTTGTAATTGCCTCCTTTTTAGTACTATCCCAACTTCTTAATGGCAGCTCTTTATAATGTTCTTATAGTAGGTTTTTTTTTCATTTGAGGTGTTTGTCAGGGATACTCCAGCCTCGTCAGACCCAATCACCTCACACACCCGATCACAATCACTGGAGTACTAATCAGCCGCACATGTCACCACCTCATCAACACTAGCTCAAATACACAGTCACTGCATTTGCACTCTGTCTGGTTTTGAGTTCACTATGCTACTCCTTACCTGACTCTCCTACCTGGACTCTTACCTGCTACCCGCCTGTCTTCGCCTTAGGCATCATCCGTCGGACCTGTTAAGAGATACAAGGATTTGTTATCAACCTGAGCAAAGTCCAGTCATTATCAAAGACTCTGAGTTACCCCTCTGCACCAAGCTGTAAATAAAGAGCTTTAACTTACCTGACTGCCTCCCCGAGGTGTCCTTCTGTATTGTGACAGAAGACCAGACCACAACAGACCAACATGGAGCCACAACAACACAACCCAATTTCACTTGAGGAATTTGTTCAAGCGATAAGAGCGTCTGTTGCATCTGCCTCCTCCAGTCCCATGGCCCGGCCCGCTATCTTCTCCGGTGAGGCGGTGGATTGCAGTGGCTTCCTGTTACAATGCTCACTCTACTTTGAAATGCAGCCTCAAGCCTTCACCAACGATTGTTCCAAGATTGCGTTCATGATTTCTCATCTTGCTGGCCGCACTCTTCAATGGGCCCAATCCATTTGGAATTCTAACTGCCCTGCTATTCACACTCTAGCAGCCTTTATGTCCCATTTCAAAGAGGTGTTCAGTCACGCCGCCACGGAGATCTCCGTCCATGATCAGCTCTTCCGCATCAGCCAGGGCACGGCATCAGTGAGTGAGTATGCTGTCAAATTTCGCACTCTGGCGGTGACTAGTGGCTGGAATGAGGTGGCCTTACTCACCGCGTTTCATCAAGGGCTCAATGCTGACATTCGATTACAAATGGTGATTTATGACAACACCGTGGGCCTGGAACGCTTCATTCAGAAGGCCATCAAGATCTCTCAACATCTACATGCCTGCAAGGATGCCCTGCCACTCTTTTCACCGATCTCACCCACCTCACCGCCTCCAGCACCAGAACCCATGCAAGTTGATTCATATTATCTCACCCGTGCGGAGTGCACTCGTAGGATTACCTCGGGACTCTGTCTATATTGTGGAGAGCATGGACATTTGATTCGCTCTTGCCCTGTTCGACCAGCACGCCCAGCGGTGAGTACCATCCAGCTCAGTCCTCAGATAAAAACTCTTAACTCGTATGAATGTGTCATTAATGTCATCTCACCAATCCCTTTCAGCGCAAGCTCTTGTAGACTCTGGCTCTTCTGGAAACTTCATCTCACTGGCCACACTCCAACGGCTACAGCTAAAACCTCAGAAAAATACCGTCCCTCTACATCACCGGCGGCGTCCAGCTTCTTCTTCGTAGGCAAGAAGGACGGAGGCTTGTGGCCTTGTATTGATTACAGAACTCTCAATTCTCAAATAGTCAAATACCTGTATCCCCTTCCACTAGCTGCCCTGGAGGAACTGCGTGGAGCGTGCCTGCGAAGCGCCTACAACCTCATTTGTATCCGCCATGGTGATGAGTGGAAGACCACATTCATTACACCCACCGGACACTATGAATATCTTGTTATGCCGTATGGATTATCCAACTCACTTTCTGTTTTCTTAGGATTTATGAACGAGGTGTTCCAGGAGTTCCTTTATCACTTTGTGATAGTGTACGTCGACGACATCCTCATATACTCCTGGAATCAGGCCGAATATCGCCACCACGTGGAGCAGGTCCTTCAGCAGCTGAGGAAATACCACCTCTACCTCAAGCTGGAGAAGTGCGAGTTCCACCGCACCACCATCAAGTTCCTCGGATATGTGATCAATCCCCAGTGTATCCAGATGGATGACAATAAGGTCCAAGCCATTCATAACTGGCCTAAACCCAAGACTATTAAAGAGCTCCAACGCTTTCTGGGATTCTCCAACTTCTACCACCGCTTCATTCACCACTTCAGTCTCATCACCGCTTCTCTAACGTCCATGCTCCGAAACAAGCCCAAGTCTCTGTCCTGGACACCCGAAGTCCTCGAGAGTTTTGAGAAGCTGAAGGAAGCCTCTGCACTGCTCCATCCACCCTGATCCTCAGAGGCCGTTCGCCATTGAGGTCGACGTGTCCACAGTCGGGATAGGAGCGGTTCTATCGCAACACTCCGGAGAGCCTCCTATCCTCCATCCCTGTGCATACTTCTCCCGCAAGCTTTCCCCGGCGGAGCAGAAATATGATATCGGTAATTGCGAGCTACTCGCCATCAAGCTCGCTCTGGAGGAGTGGAGACATTGGCTGGAGGGAGCTATACATCCGTTTCAGGTCATCACGGATCACCAGAACTTGGAGTACCTTCGTGAGGCCAAACGCCTGAACCCTCGGCAGGCGCAGTGGGCTCTGTTCTTCACCCGTTTTCAGTTCAGTTACCTAGCGTCCGGGAACCAAGAATACCAGAGCTGACACCCTTTCTCATCTCCATCAGCCCACCGAACGGCCATTGCCCTCAGAAACCACTCTCCTTCCAGCCATCATTGTGTGTCCCATCCAGTGTACACTTGATGAGGAAATCCGCCAAGCCACTCAATCTGAGCCTGCTCCGCCGGGAGGTCCAGAAGGGAGGACCTATGATCCATCAGCCCTCCGCATTACCCTTCCGGACTCGCTGCACTCTTCTCCGGGCTCTGGACATCCAGGCAGACAGCAAACCCTCTCGCTCCTCCAAAACCGGTACTGGTGGTCCAATATGGCCCAAGAAGTCTATCGTTTCGTCCAAGGATGCTCAGTCTGTGCCATCACAAGTCTCCCCATCACTTACCACAAGGAAAACTGGTACCACTTCACATACCCCACCGGCCTTGGTCCCACATCGGAGTCGACTTTGTCAAAGACCTCC